TTTGAGCTTTAACTAAGTTGTACATGGGTAACTGTAGGGGGCTAAAAAGAACTACTATTTAAAGAATGGTAAGCATTGGCGACCTATTAAATAGTATTAGTCATAACCGCTGGCTAATGTTCAGACTGGCGAGTTTGTGATCGGGGGGCCCATGTAAAACGACCAACGTGAGGCTCCCTGAGCGACATAAATTCCTAATGAACGAGTAAATATAAAGTAAAGAGTTAAATAGAATAATCAAATGTTATAATAATAATAATTAGAAATGGTCACGCAACCAATTCGTATGACAATATAAATTCGAGGTCATATTAAAATGGAGTCAGATTAGATAATAAAATGGAGTCAGATTAGAATTTAACTTAAATTGAATAACTTTACGCGCTGAAAAGACCGAACACACAAGAAACCTTCAGCCACCATTGGATACCTTCCTTGGGCCAAGTGCAGGACGGACCTTACAGGACGTACTCCTTCGAAGTGCGATTCCCCATCTCAGGCAAGTCCGCCAACTGGCCACTCTGCACACTAACCCAATAAATGGTCTTTGAACTGGTGTCATCAAACCTGGATAAAATAGCCAGCTCACAAAAGTGGATGGAGCATTCCCACTAGGGGTGTGAATTAGCACTGGTTTCACGATTCAATTCGATTACGATTATAATGTCAATGATTCAATTGAATTCGATATCACGATGCATCATGATTATATCAAATTTATTTTGTGCATTTTTTATTAAATTATATAAGCATGCAACTTTTTAAAATAATTGTTAATTAATATATTAATTAATAATTAATTAATTAATTATTGTTCAGAATTAAACAAAGTAAATATATCTTCAAAACACACAAGAAAATATAAAGTAATAAAGGGGGAAAAAGACAATTACAAGTGATAAACAAAAAGCACTTTCAGTATCTGCTTTAAGTATTCGAAAGTTTACAGACAATCATAGTTATGGGTTTTTCTTTTTTTCTCAGCATTATTGCCATTTGATTATTAGGCCTAGCCTACTGATGAGATCATAGACAGTGGCAGCTTTAATAGGCTGCATTCACACTAATGCACAGTTTCGACATATCAGATGTTTTGTCCTGTTCTGAAAACATAACTGACTGTTTACACGTTCATTTCGAATCATAAAAGTATTCGGAGATGCAAGTGCGTTTAACCGCAGCCTCGAGCTTCAGGACAAGCAAACACAAAGCGCACATGAAAATCTGTCAGTACGTGAGTTCCGTGCATCTAATACGTACTGCATTCCAAATGGCATAAATGAAAGCATATCTAAAGTAAAACAGTGAAATAACAGCGAGTGGAAGCACAGTCAAGCAATGCACAAGTGTCTCACAGCGCACACAGCAAAACATCCAGTGTTGTTTAGAGTTGTTTTTATGGTGTTAATTTATCAGAGTTAAAAAGTGTTGATTCTGGTGTTGATTTGAATGGCATTAACACTTGCAGTGTAAATCAGTGGTCGGAGTCAGTGTAATTACAGCGAGTTGACATAATTGACACTGGTGATGAGTTGATCCAATTTCCGGTCCTTGCACATTATTTCCTTTTTGATTAATGGCGGACGACCACGAGGAGAGGATAGTGTTCAAGCAGGTATAATATTTTATAACCACTTAGATTGACCAATTTTCATGTTTAGTTTACGTTTCTCACCATTCAGAATAATATTAGTACATTTCTCAACATTGCCAGAGTGCTAACATTATTTCTTTTCAGATAACGAGACAGACAACCGACAGCATCTCGAGGCCATTTAGCTGCACCACTTGTTAGCAAGCAAACTGAGGTAAGAATGGCATTGTTAATGTTAGCAGTTTTAAACGTAAGTTTTCTTAGAATCTGGGGTAGATAACAAGGTAATTTCTGTGATTTGTGTAACTGTTTAATGAGTTAAATTAACACAAATAGCAGCATCCCCTTCTTGGGGCTCACGTTATTTGTGTTGCCAAAATAAGACATTGTAATGCATTTTTGTCTCCAATATTTTAGTATAACTGCATTGTTACACAAATAATCTCTGACTGTTTAAGTGAGCAGCAATCAGTAACGCGCGTTTTTTGTGAGCAGCAATCAGTAACGCGCGGTTTTTAATTTTTTTTATACGTGGACCTTGAAAGCACGGCTTCGGATGGTCCGAGTAATTTATATGAAGTATATCGCTGTTACACTCGTCTGCAAAGTAAAAGGCAGCGGAGATAAATTATCAGATAATCAAGCAAGAAGCTTTTTGCTGAATTTATGTTTTCTGCCAGCGTATGACTATGAACTATTCGCTCATATGAGACACGTGTTTGACGTGCGCGCGTGCGCTTCATCTGCAAAAGTAGATACGAGTTAACTTGCTGCAATTAATGTAACGTTAACATTTGTGGGGTGACAAATGGAGCTTTTGACAACAGCGGCTCGCTGGATTTTCTTTAATATTAACAACGTCATAATTTGCATTTTTCTTGACCAACAGCTTTTCGTCATGTTGGTTAAAGTTCAGTATCAAGGCGTGAAGAAATTTGTAAAACTGCACAGCGATAGTACGTTCCAAGACTTTCTCACTGAAGGTAAGCTAAGAATCTTGTGCCACTGCTTAGAAATGTCATATAGGAACTACGCTTGAGGTATAAGCACACAGGGCTTGTGTATGTTAACTTTTTACAATAAGGTCTCATTTGTTAACATTAATGTACAAACTAACAATTACTAACTTTAGTATTAATTAATAAAAGTAGAACTGTTTGTTCATTTTAGTTCATAGTGCATTCATGTTAACAGATACAACTTTTGATTTTTATAATGTATTAGGAAATGTTGAGATTAACATTAACTAAGATTATTGAATGCTGTAGACGTATTGTGCATTCTTAGTCCATGTTAACTAATTAAACCTTGTGGTAAAGTTATTATATATATATATATATATTTTTTTTTTTTACTTGTGTATATTTTTTTCATGTTACTGTTAAAATTACTTTTCAGTTAAGAGCAAATTTGCTTTAGCAAGAACTGCTGCTCTTGAAGTCTTTGATACAGACACAACTGTGGAAGAGGACATCTTCCATGAATTGATTGAAGGCAGTCCACATTTATGCCTAACAGTAAGATGTCCAGAAGAAAATATTTCTGCTGGTTTGTCTGAGGGTAAGTATATAATAACACTTTAGATATTCTTTCAAGGACTCCAGTGTAATTATCCTGGGGACAAAATGCATTTGGGTCAGAAACACATTTACATTTACCTTTAGCAGACGCTTTTATCTAAATTGACTTAAAAAATTGAGAATATAACAAGTGATTGATCATGAGGAGGCAATAACATAAGAAGTGCTAATAATTCAAACATAGTCTAAAATGGTCCAGGCTACAACATTAGCAGGATACAATTAAGTGCTCACTTGTGAGTTTAGCAGTTTATTGAATATTGTCACAGATTTGTTTGGGTTAATATCCAATCATGAAAAGGTGGACGAAAGGATCAGGTGGTTAACAGTGTTGACTGCAGCTAGATATAGGAGAATGAGAACTGACAAGGGTGTATCCTTAGTTTTACTATTTTTATTGTTGTTTTAAAGGGTTAGTTCACCCAAAAATGAAAATTGTCATTATTTACTCACCCTCATTGCTCCCAAACCTGTAAGACTTTCGTTCATCTTCAGAACAGAAATTAAGATATTTGATGAAATCCAAGAGCTTTCTGATCTCTCCATAGACTGCAACATAATTGCAACTGTCAAGGCCCAGAAAGGTAGAAAAGATATCATTAACGGTCCATGTGACCACAGTGGTTCAATATTAATGTTTTGAAGTGATGAGAGAACTTTCTGTGTACAAAAATAAAGACTTTATTCAAGAATCTTCTCACTTCCATGTCATTCTCCTATGCTATTCGCGTAGTAAGCGCAGCGCTGGGCCTTGAAAGTTGCAATGACGTTGCTGCCTATGGATGGTTCAGAAAGCTCTCGGGTTTCATCAAAAACATCTTAATTTGTGTTCTGAAGATGAATGAAGTTCTTATGGGTTTGGAACAACATGAGGGTGAGTAATTAATGACATTTTTTTTATTTTGCTGTACTAACCCTTTAATTGGATTTGTGATGCAAAATTCTTGCTACAGAAGTAAAGAACATTTAGACAAAGCCCTGTTTGATTTAATGCCTTTAGAGAAAACATGAAAATTGTTTTGTTTTTCTCAAGAATTTTCACCCACAAGATCATCAACCCCCAGCACATGCACTGATACTCTTTCACTCTCTTCAACTGACCATGAAGAGACCGAGAGAGCAATGCAAAATCAAGCCGCAATGGCCAGCAACAGTTTTAACATGGACGCTGAAAAGGCAAAACAGGTAAAACATGTTTTTCCTTATGGTTAACTTATCCATATAATAATTATTTCACCATTTTAGTAGTCTTCAAGTGTTCACCTGTATTGTGGTCATGTTTAATAAGATTGTCCAAGATGCACTGGAAAAAAAATCTGGTGGTGAGGAAGTGCTTGAAGAATACCAGAAAACTAAAACTTTAAAGCACAGCACCAGACGTCAGCTTGTTAATATTGCTGTCAGTCACATGACAGAAATTCACGGGTAAGACTTCAATGCACAGATGCAAGAAATACACACAGCTGTACGGTGTAGAAAACAAGGTCAAGTTTAGCATTAACCAATTATTATTATTTTTTTTACATTGAAGGAGGATCCCCACCCGCAAACAGCGGGAAACGTATGCCTTGGGCATTATTTATCTCTTTCCTAGCCTGAGAGACCCGTTTTCAACAAAGGGCTATGTAAGAATCTTTTGTATTGATGTGCTTGTAACAAAATCTAGTTGGACATGAAGTTTGTGCTCCTTTTTTGCGGCATGTAATAGCAGTTTATCTATTAAATGTAATGTAATGACTAACGTAATGTTCAGATTTTACAAAAAGTGTTCTCTTGTCTTTCTGACAGGAGCATTTCTACGATCCGGAAAAGGGAACCGGGTTCATCTCCTGGCGCCTTAAAACTTTGTCGAGGAAGAACCCAAAACGTGTTCGCTTGGAGATGACAATATTGTTTTAAGTGCGTTTTAGATATGCCTGCTTTTTAAGTATCTTATAAGGTTACTCTTTGACATGATTGCTACTTGGACTCATTCATTCATATTTATCACTCTTGCTCATTTATGCCAGTGATAGATTTTGAAAGAATTCAAGTAAATACTTGAATTACTATGTTCGACTCATGTGCACATTCATGATGTCTTAGTCTATCAAAACAACATGCACACACTATCCATTTTGTTGGTAAAGGATGAAAAGTAACCTCTTAAAAATCTTGTAATATGCTTTGTCATTAGATAAATCAGGACTTTGCTCTGCTGTTCAATGCTGAAACATCCAACAAGTTTCTCGAGAGGTGGGAGACGGCATTCAAGCAAAAGATCATCGATGAAGCCCAGTGTCTTACATCAACAGCAGAAATTTGGTGTCTTCTCAATGCAGCAGGTGTACAAGGATCTGACAATGGTTGGCATGATTTGTGAGGATGTCAATTTCATATTTGCTCTGGTTTCTTGTTATTTTGAGCACTAAATGTTTGTTTTTGTTTTATCCTAAATCGCCCACCACCCCCTAAACATCTACTTATTCAGATTGGGACAGTGACATGTCATCTGTCCTGCTGCTGTTGCATCTCCTGCCTCCTGCTCCAGGGAGGAAGAAGACTAAGATCAGTCCAACAGAGGCTGTTGACAGACTTGTGCATTTCCATAAGGTAAAACTAACATTACTGTTGCAAAGTCATTGTGAATGTTTAATTATGATTTTGGTTATAAACTCTCTAAAATGCAGTGGTTTTCAATCATGGTCCTTGGGACTCACCCCTCTGCACATTTTGTCTCTCTGACCTGACACACTTAAGGGATAGTTCACCCAAAAATGAAAATTGTCATTTACTCACCCTCGGGTTGTTCCAAATCTCTCTACATTTCTTTGTACTGCTGAACACAAAGGAAGATATTTTGAAGAAAGTTTGTAAACTGGACTTCCATAGTAAGAAAAAAAATACCATGATAGTTAATGGCTGCCCAAAGCAGTCGGTTTACAAACTTTCTTCAAAATATCTTTGTGTTCAGCAGTACAAAGAAATGTATACAGGTTTGGAACAACCTGTGGGTAACAACCTTTTCTGTAAATTACAGAATTTTCTTTTTGGGTGAACTAACCCTTTAGTTTATTTCATGCACCTCTTACCTAATGAGGTGAAGATCTGAATCAGGTTTGTTGAATAAGGGAGACATACAACATGCAGAGCAGTGGGTCCACAGGACAGGGATTGAAAATCACTGGCATAATGTGTCTAAATGTTCCTTTTGGACTCTAACTGATTGCACGTGCTCACTTGCATTATATTGCCCTACAGCTCTCGGATGTCCATGTACAACTCTTTGTTTGTGTTCTAATGAAGTAAGTCAGTCACATAGCTTGGTTTGGCTGAGGGTGTAGACTTTCACTGTAATACACAAAGCATGATATCAACTGGTTTTGTTTGGCATGTATTGGGTTAAGGTGTGTTATAGTATTTTTCTTTGTTTTTTTTTGTTTTTTTTCTTCCCTGGTTTATTTAATCAAATTTTTGTTTGTGCTTTTTTCAGTCCTGCACCAGTATTGAAGGCCGTCTCAGCAGGAGGGAGGGCCACCAGCCATTCCTACTGAGATCAGGAAGGATTAAGGGCAGGATCAACCACTTTTACGTCGTTGTGGACAAGCGCCTCATCCCTTGCGTTGGAACCAGCTCCTTGAGTGCCTTTGATGAACTTTTTAAAGTTCACTATGTCTTCAACCTGTCCTACGAGAAAGCCCTGGTGTCAAAAGCCAACAGCTTGTTCTACAGGCCTTTTGATCTGCAGTGTTTATATGGGTCAGATGATGGTGAATATATGGTACCTTTTTTTGTGTTGGTGTAATAGTTACATCTGTGTTAAAAATAAAATTTCAAACTGATACAGCGTGTTGACTTTATTTGTTTTTTTTTACACCGAATGCACAGGTATTTTTAGTCGAATACAGATTACACTTAATTACCTTAATCAGGGTTAGTATGAACACTATATTAGTGTGGAAATAAGTCTCTTGGTGTTAAGATATTGACACACGTAGTGTAGTTTCAACACTAACTTGGTGTAAATGAGGGGGAGGGAAAACACTAATGGTGTTAATGGTGAACACTTACAGTGTTGTTTTTACTCAATGCAAGTGTAAAAAAAGTAACACTATTTAAAGTGTTAGTTTAACTCTATTTAGTGTGGACCTATATAAACCCCGAAAAAGTGTTAATTTTCTCACTGTGAGTGTCAATTTAACACTTTCAAATTTGCTGTGTAAAGTACAATACATATCACATACTTTAAGACTTTTACTCAAGTAAGATTCTAAACAGTGACTTCAACTTCTGCCAAAGTCATTTTCTGGTAAGATATCTGTACTTTTACTTGAGTATGGCTTTCAGGTGCTTTATACACCACTGGGTCTGCTCCCGAGTGCGACTGCTGTATTCACACCTGCCCAAAACATCCGCACCAAAGGAGGAAGTAAACTTGAGTTTGATTCAATCGAACCAAACAAGACAGGGAATACATCCTAATAAACCTACTGCTGTCCATCATTAATCAAATAACGAAAGAAAACGAGAAAATCACTTAATGCTCTTGACTAAATAACAACTAAATAACTAGGATTAATCTGCATTTAATTTACACCACGTCTGTTTGAAAGAATTAAGATTACTATGTGCATGTTGTTATAAAGAATGGCATTAATTGAAAAGATCATGTTCTTGTTTCTTGGAGAAATTGTTTATTTTAATTTCAAGATAAATTAAGACATTATGTCACAGCATTTAAATGTGTCTGTGTTGCATGTTCAAACCTTAATATTCATATTAACAGATTTATAGATATTGTTTTTCTCCAGAAGTGAATAAGTTTGGAAATTTTTGAGAAATGCTTAATGCATTACAATTTAACTAAATCCATTAAGATTTTAGTTGACTAAATTTACTGTAAATTTAGTGAACTAAAATCTTATATGTAGTCAAATATATGTAGACTAAAACAATTCAGATGACTAAAATATGACTAAAACTATACAGCATTTTAGTCAAAAGGCTATGACAAACTAAATAAAAATTTGCTGTCGAAATTAACACTGCATACTTCAAGTACAGTGGGGAAAATATTTATTTGATCCCCTGCTGATTTTGTAAGTTTGCCCACTTTAATTTTTATGGTAGGTTTATTTTAACGTACAGAGATGGAATATCAACCAAAAAATCCAGGGAAAAAAAACACATTATATAAAGGTTAGAAATTGATTTGCATTTCAGTGAGTGAAATAAGTATTTGATCCCCAAGCAAAACATGACTTAGTACAGAAAACCTTGTTGGCAAGGACAGAGGTAAGACGTTTCCTGTAGTTGGTCACCAGGTTTGCACACATCTCAGGAGGGATTTTGATCCACTCCTCTTTACAGATCCTCTCTAAATCCTTAAGGTTT